TTTTCTTTGGATTAGGCCACATGGTGAACACCAGTAAGAAGAATGGGGTAAGGATTCATCACTTGTAGTTATACTTTGTTTCATGCATAGTTATTTAAATGTATGATTTCAACATGATGTTAAAATGCTTTTGGAAAGTCATGTATAGGACCAGAGGGGAAATTATTTACAAATGACCAGAGAGGTCTGAGATACTGAAATAAAAGGTAATGTAGAGAAAGAGTTGGCCCACAAACACTACATCTACTTACAACATGGAAATGAGTCCATTTGGGGAATGTCAAGTTTCTCTAGAAAGAGCAAGGTCACCTACTTACCCCCCCACACACACATCACGAGGTCTATTGTAATTCAAAGTTGGGTAAGGTGGAAACATGTTCACTTTGTAAGGAGCATCCCAAAATCTTACGGGCCAACTTAATTCCAGTGTTTCACACTGGACTTTCTATACCTAAATCTTTAGGGCAATTGTTCAAATGGCTACCTTAACTACTTTAATAAAGTATTCAAAACCCAAGAATTGCTTCTAGGAGGAGAAGGTTTTTTTTTGTTGTTGTTGTTGTTTTTATAAATAGTACATAATTTAAAATAACATGTTTGGAAAATAGTTTTTGGATACGTGTTCCGTGGGGCTAAGTCACTTATTTTTGAATAACAAAACTGACACACACTAATTTTTAATGCAATTTCCCCTTCATTCATAAAAAATATATTTTTACTATATAAAGTTTCATCCCCCAGACATGCACAGCTATAAACTATTCAAGTAGTTTAAAATAAAACATGAAAAAATCATGTCAATAGGAGAAAAGAGCTCTCCTAGTGATTATGGCAGTGTTTGGCTTCTAAAACGCAATTAAAGAAAGTTATTCTGGGGATCTGTCAAATTCACACCTGCAGGCACCTGATCAGATGCTTTATTAGGGCCAAATGTATGGTTTTATTGATTTTTTTTCTTAATTAAATGAAGAATCAATTTTTGATAAGAAACAGTAATGGCACTGACAATGTAATATGGTATATGCCAATATTATATTGCAAATGAAACTTATTTGAATATGATTACATTCAAATCCCTTATTGAGTAGTTCTAGATAACTGGAAATATATATTGACATATATTCATTCTCTGTTTTATTAAATATATATGGAAATCAAATTACAGGGAGTTCTACAGATTTCTGAGAATTTAATTATACCCTGAAGTTGCAGTATCAATGATATATATGGTTAGACTTCCGTACTGAGTAATTACCTGAATTAACTTCATTTTACAATGCTTAATTTATTCTGTACTGAGAAAGGCTTTAAACTATTTAAGAGAAACTAGCTTAATTTTTATTTTTTTCTTACTTGTACCAACATGTTTCAGTTCATTACTGTTTCAATACCAAGGAATGAACTAACTTGCCTTGACAAATCAAGCTTGGAAATTTCCTCATAAGAGAAAAGAAGAAATTTAAATGATTTTCATATTCAAGTCGCAGCATGCTGAATGGAGAATTTTGGGCTCTTGGCAAAGCTGTTTGTTACCTCAGAAGAGACCCACTCAACTGCAGTTTTGTGGAAATATTACAGTAGAACCTGCTCAAGGAAACCCAGAATGGCAACACTGAGCCCAGGCCATTATTCTCTTGGGCACAGAGATTTCCTTCTCTTACGTGCCTGGTCTGGCCAAACTCTTCTAAAAATCAAAGGCCACTAACATGCACAACAATTTGTGCTAAAATCCAAACATGATACCAAACAGAAAATAATTTCACTGTGATTCCACTGTTATCCCTAAGATACACCTTGAGATACTTCATTCAGATAAGTTATATTCTTCCTAAATCAAAACATAAAGGGTTTCTGAGGTTTGTTTTTTTTGTGGTGTTGGAGAGCAAACTCAGGGTCTTATACACGTGAAGCACTACTCTACCAGCAGCCCATGAGTCTTGTTCTTTTAACAAATGAAATGCACGTTCCGTACTTCTTTAGTATTAAAATAAGGGAACAAAAAAAGTTGCAACACTCACTTCTTTCTCTGAGCAAAAATGTTTGCTCCTTTGCATTCAACAAATCATATGCATAGCTGGATGGCAGTTAGCTGCTGGTGGCAGAGAAAAAAATATGTTAAGAAAAACTCACGGATTGTTCCTAGACATTTCTTGTGTGTGGACATTAAAAAACAAACAACATGTATTTATTAAAATGTCATTTGAAAGCACAAGAAGTGGCTTAGAATCCAAGACATTAAGAAAATTAGGGAGTTCAAAGTTTTAATGTTCATCAAATCAGACTCCTCCAAGTATCATAGTCACAGAAACTTGAATATGAATTTAGAGTATTAAGTGGTTGAAGAATTTGTTGTTTTTGACTGTGACAATTGACAGGGTCCCACTTGTCAAGTTATTAAGACTGCTAAGAATATCAAAACACATACCATTTCCAACAAAGACTGTTTCATATCTCACCTAATGAGCAACAAAAAAATCCACCAGCATTCATTTCCCCTTTGTACATCCAAAGAATCAAATAACCACTCAAGTAATAAGAGATCCAGGGGTGTTTCACACATGCAGAAGGAAAATGCTTAAAGGCAAAATTCCTTAAACATATGCCATAGTGTGGGAGTCCTGAACCATTTTCTGTTAACCCTGTTAAAATCCATGAGCATAAAGGTTGTGAAAAGGACATCTCTTTACATCCCAAATGTTGTATTTTCATTCTTAGATCACAGTAATCATTATTTTCTCCAACATAACAAACTCTAATGCCAAGATTTTTCTTGAAAAAAAATCATTTATAAGTCCAAGTATCTCTTTAACCATTAAGCCCTGGTTAATTAATTAAAAACCTTGTCTGATGTCTCAAGTTCAAATTGATTCCAGTTCTGGAGTAGCAATAGCCATTGTTAGAGTAGGGCCTTTTTTTTTTTTTTTTTTCTACTCTTTTCCACGGAGCTGTCCCTTGGACCATAACTAGGGTTTTTTGTGGCCTCAGTGAAAATTCAATGATACACTGTGGTCTAGTCTTCAGTAAAGAGCTCATCTAGAACACTGGTCTAAGAGAGAGGCCCATGATGGTCATGGAAATAAAGTTCTACCATGTTCTCAGGAGATTTGCATTCCTAGCAGTCCTAAGATGAATTATCTCCACTGGAGACAGCATTGTGTTGGGCTCCCTCCTAGTCTACAGAATCCTTTGATTGGAATCAGGTGGGAGCAGGAAAAAAAAAGCTAAGGGGGATAAAGAAAGGACACCAGTCAGGGCTTTTGGAGCGGTAATGAAGTTAGGACTACAGGAAAGGGACAGACACTTGGGCAGAGTTTGGAATACCAAATTAATAGTATTTATATCCATGGCCAGGCTTTGTGACCTTAACTAAACTTCAGGACCCAAAATGGTGCAGTAAAATATGGCTGGTTGCCTTCTGATAAGCTTCACCCTATAATACAAATGAAGAAAATTCTTTTGTATAGGAAGGGCAGAATGAGGTGGGAGAAACCAGCAATTCATCTTAAGCATGAACCTACACTGTGCATGTTTCCACATTCTTTTATTCTGTTGGACCTTTTCTGGTCATTCTGCTGATAATTGTAACACGTTGGGGAATATACTTGGATCTTTCTTTCTTCCTTTTTTTGTGTACTAGGGCTTGAGCCACTCCACCAAGCCCTTTTTCGTGAAGGGTTTTTTCAAGATAGGGTCTTGAAAACTATTTGCCTAGGGTTGGCTTCAAACCAAGATCCTCCCGATCTCTGCCTCCTGAGTAGCTAGAATTGATTTTTCTTATTACTTAGGGTAGATGCTACTTCAAAAGAATGCCTGAGGGTGAGCAGAAAAAAAGATATATAGGATGGATGGTCTTTGAATGGTTTCTTTTCTATTTGTTTTAGGATGATATTGTGTAAATGCTTCAATTTTTTAAATTGATAATTAAATCACTCCGAGGAGAGGAGAATCTTTACCTAGTCTCCTAGGTGAAAGACTGAGGTCTTTCATTTACCTCCATGTTGATAATCTGGAAGTAATAATGTTCTTAAGTCTATCAGATGTAACCACATGAAGCCAACCACAAAGTTTGTTCTTTTTATGCTATTTCCTAGTAAGGTATACTAAATACCTTCAGAGAACTGTTTCTTAGAAAAATTGTGATTTTATTCTATTCTTGAAGTGTTCAATGTGAACAACATTCCTGAGATTTCCTATTTTTCCACTGACTTTAAATTTTGCCTGTAGAAAAATTTCCAGGATAAAAAAATTTCATCTTCTACTGGACAAATATGATCCAGATTAAACTTCCAGGGTGATCTCTTGGGCTTTTGTTTTTAATTGGTTTCTTTTTGTCTTTCTTGAGAGCAGGCTATGTAATATTTCAGCATTCCAAATAGGAAATTGGAAACTATAGCCAGTGAGTTCCCCCTGAGTGTTGGTAAACAAAATCTTGGAGGTTGGGGCAGGCACAGGAACATGGCTGAGCAAAAGCAAGCCTCTCCCATATCTTCCCCTAATGCTGGGATGAATTATCCATAAACTTCCGGCAATTATAAGTGTAAGTAACAGCTCCCTAGGTGTTATGGCTGTCATACTGTAAAACCTGGGAACAGAGTGACTCATAAACTGAATCCGGGTGTTTTACAAGTTTGTGGGAGCACCAGGGTGTACATGTCCACAACTGACCCTGGCTAAAGGCTGGAGGCTATGGGAGCCAGACTGGAGGAAATAAACTCTAGGGAGTCTTCAGTTAGCTCAGAAGTTTTCAAACTTGAGCATATTTCAGAATCCTCCAGTTTCTCATTCAGCAAGTCTGTGCTGGGGCCCAATACCTGCATTTCTAATATGTTTCTAGACAGTGATGCTGGTCCTAAAACCACATGTAGAGAAACATTAGTCTGTTTTCACCATCCCCTACTCAGGCTGAGAAGCAAGAGGATCGATTGTAGTTTTAGAACTGAACTGCAGCACTTTGGTACATTATTCCCGATATCTGCACAAAGTGTCAAAGAAGGTGCACATGATTGGTTTTTCCATAAAATCCTTGCACAAATGGTCTCCTTGACAATGTGAATGGCTCTTTATCAATAAAATAATTTCTAAATAGTTACAAAATTTGACAAGAAGGTAGTAATGTTGTTAGAATAAGCATACAGCCTCCTGGAGATGACTGCATGAAAAGTTAAACCCAACACAGATATATGTATTTTTATTTCAAATAATCATTCCAATTATTCCCTTTTAAATCTCAGTAACTATACATGTGGTGCTCTTGTCACAAATTTGGGCACTAAATTCTTAACTACAATTTTGCAATTTCTTTCTTTTTTTGGTTGAACTGTCCTGAATTGTAGATAATCTTTTAGCATTTGTGGCAGAGCTAGTTTGCTGCGCCTGCCCTGGGTTATTTTTCAAAGATGTCTGGAAAGATCTTCCAAAACATGCAGTTCTTCCTTAGACATGTTTTTTTGCCAAATCTTATTTAAAAAGTAACCCCGGATCTGACAACTCTGAAGTTGGCAAAACACTGACAGCTGTGCTTTTTTCCACCATTATTTCTCCTGGGACTAATCGATCACTTCCAAGAGAAACTCTCTTGTGGTGGTTGGAGTCTTCCTCAGAGCCATAGTTCCTGAGTTTCTGTTGTGTTTTGGCTGTTCGTGGACTTTGCTTTGGACCTGGTGATGCTGACTCATAGCTATAGACAGGGCTCCCACTTAGAAGCTCTGTCTCTAACTGCTCCCCAGGATGAGGTTTTTGCTGGCTGCTAGTATCTTCTGGCTGGATCAGATTAACATTTTCCAGCTTTTGTACAGGAAGCCCCCAGTGGCTCTCTGCTGCCTTTATGTAATCCTCTCCTTGCCCCACAGATTCTGATGGAGGACTGGAAGAGGCCCGACCTTCATCCCTCCTTCATGGTGCCTCTGCAAATCATTGAGTCACTATTAGTTCCCATGGTGTCCCTGTCTGTGCTTTTTGTTTCAGTTCTTTTCACACTAAAACAAACAAACCAACAAACAACCACAAAGACTGCATGCTGTGTGAAGCTATAATGGTATGTTTTCCTCCAAATTCCCCTTCCCACATTTCCTACACCTGAAAAACAAGGCATGCATTACCTGTCTTCTCTTTGCCTCCCTAAATCCCCAAATGTATATTGTTTAAATATGGACTGGATTAAGCAATAACCTCATTTTCCAATATACTAGGATGTATTTTGTTTTATGATCATTGGGTCATCATGGAGTTAAGATGGAGTTCACATTTTTTCCTAAAGCAAGTAGATATTCATATAAGGGTCAATATTGCCTATAGTTGATATATTATTTTTTCCTAGAAGTAGATGCTCAGATATATCCAAATTCAGATTGAGTATGTGTGTGTGCATGCACATGTACAAAAATACGCACCACATATAATTTCTATTTGTGAGTAAAGAATAAAATCTGCAATTTCTTGCTGATGCTCTCATGATATTACTCAGATATAACCACTATTTAGTGGATGCCAGGCTTGTTCATCAACCATATGGGAGCAATACTCAATTAAAAGCACTTGACATGTCTTAGAAAAAATTTCAGATAGCCAGCATGAGAGGAAACAAAGTACGAACATGGCAGCCAATATGTCTGTCACACTGATATGTCTGTCAGTCCATCCATCCATATCTATCTATCTAGCAATCTGCCTACCTACTTACACCCCTTTTCTACAGGACACACAATAGACAAGATAAACTTAGCTCTAATTTTAAAATAAAGTTTGAGGGGCAGGACAGAAACTACAAAGGGAAAATTTAGAGATTAAAGACCTTCACTGTGGCAAGAAGTTGGTGTCAAGAAATTTCAGCCATCAAACTCAAAACATTGAAGCTGAAATACATATTTTGGCTAAGCATTAACATGGAAACATATATATTCATGTTCTTCCTGTTGCTATCAGGAGCACAAGGATTAACATAATTATACTGAAGTTGGAACAAGCATCTTAGAAAAGGAACGTAGTTTTTTAGATCTGTCTGTAGTAACCTGAAAGTTGTATGAAACACACCACCACCGGGTGCTTTTCATCTTCAAAGAACTTATAATTAATTACTCCTTGCAACATACCTGTGAAGCAAGGACACTATTCCCACTGCTCAGAAAGCAAGAGAAATAGTCAGGAAGGCAGAAAGGGCAAGTATGTGACTAAGGGCAAGATCACTGCCAGAGGGTTTTTGTGATTAGGTTCCATGTAATCTTCTTTAATTCTAGACTTCAGATGATTGATCCATCCATCAATCCATCCATCCAGGCAGTCAGAAATTGAGAAAAAGGAAACACAATGGACCTACATTTCATTCAGAGCATTTCTCTTAAGTTTTGCACTGGGAGAAAGTTGACTCTTTGCATACTCAGGAAAATAATCAGACACTCCGTAGAGAGCTCCTTCTGTCTACTCCAAAAGATAACAAAATTCAATCAGAAATTTATTAGCTGAACATGAGAGAAAACAGTTACATTCTGAAAACTCAGATGACCAGCTTTATTTCTGTAAAGATAAATGAAGCTGCTTACTGTTATATGCTGTTTTAACTTTCTTCTAGGACTTTCTGGTAAATCACAACTTCTTTGAAACATGTAGTCCATACACTTCACATATTAATATGTACCACAAACATTTAGGACTGTAATGCAAAAGTTGCTGATTCTAAGCCATTGGGAACTCTGGACCACAATATCTGCTATCTCCACAGCCTGAACTGTGACAAAAGTCCAGAATCACTGAGCCAGGCAACATATTTATGAGAAGAGATTTTTGGCACAGTGATTAGTACCCTGGTTATTGTAAGAATTCCCCACTTTTTCTCTATTTACAAAAACCAGAAATATAGCCTTTGTAACCATCAAGACTAAATCAAGTTAAACCTTTTAGTATGGGCATCTTGAGAATGGAGTTTGTCATTCTTGGATACTAAAAAGTTTGGAAGTTTCTTCTTTTTCTTGTACTAGCCACTACCATAATTTTATAAAATTCATACATTACTGACCCATATACTTTTTTACATGCTCATGGAAGCTTCCTAAGGATGAAATTAATTATAAAATATAAAATTCTCCCAACCTTTGTCACCATTGACTCATGTCATGCTTTTGGAATCTTTTCCTTTTGGCTAGCAAGTTGATAATCCAAACAAAGAGTTGATTTTTCTTGTTTTCTGAGACACTAAATATTCTTCCACATCAAATTCCAATAAAATGTTACCACCACAAGGAACAGTAAGTTATCATAAGGTCCTTGCCTTACTTAATTTATTTATTACATGGCAATGAACAGTGAGAACTTCAGACAACCTGGTGGACACCAGCCATTATTATTATGCCTGGTATTCTTCCAGATGAATGTGATGGGCTTTACTCAGTAACTGCCCACACCATTGAGTTATGGAGCTTTTAGTTCTCTAACACTACCTATGGCTTCAGACTCAGGCCAATATCACTCAAAGTCATATCTGGTTATAATCCAAGTGAGTTTTAACAGTTAGTGAATGGAGTATTATTGGCTTTATTGGATTATACTGCATTTTGATGTGTTATTCTTCTGGTTTTGTATTTCTAAAATTTACTGGTAGACCAAAAGCTTAATCAGAGAGAGAGAGACTGTGAGAGATTGGGAACGATGGAGATTTATGTGTGAAACACTTCTAAACATGCCCTATAAGTACAGTAGATTTTCCTCTTACAACCACACCCTGTAAGTGCTGTATTTTCAGAGCTGAACAATTAACATAAAGAGCATGAGTCAGGCTTTGAACAACTCTGTGGGAACCAGAAAGCCTTTTGCTATTAGGAATGATGTAAATTCCCCAAGGCTGGAAGAAGTCCACAATGGAAGGCAGACAGGGTCATAAATAACAACAATAGATTCTGCATACACTACATAAAGCATGATGCCGTGATAGTGACACTCTCTTCAAATCTCAGATTGGATTCAATCATTGCTTTATTTATTTTTAAAATTCATTTTACACAGCAGATGTATTCTTTTGGGAACTTCAAAAACAGAGCAATCCACTAATCACAAATTCCTGACAACAATGTAGGAAAGTGTCTTTAGAAAAAAAAGGACAACAGAAAAGGTGACAGAGTGACATAAAGAAATGTCCAGTTTGAAAGTGCAAAACCTGTGACTTGGCTATAAAAAAGGGAAATATAAAAGGAAAAGAAAAAAATGGAAGACAAAGGCAAGGCAGGGGCTCTTGCTTACAAATTAAAACCACATTTGGCAATTTGTTGAACAAGAACATACTTACATTTGTATTAAGACTGGGTGGACAGGAAAAAAAATATTAGCCTCCTTCTTCAGACCTTGAACTGTCAGGTCTCATTAGAAATCTCTTATTTTTACAATTCTAGGGTCAGTTCACTCCCCTTTGTCACTAAATCACAGCCTCTGGTCTCCTGCCCTCCAGGTATTCCTAAGGAAACACCTATCACCTGGGAATACATTTCTCAAAGGGATACATCTTGATTATTAATACTTTTCACTTCTGGCATAAAAATGTGGCTTACCCAGAGGCAAAACTCCAAGGTGCAAATCTATGGTGTGTGTTGGGAAGGTTGCAAGTGCCTCCAGGCTCACATGAATCTACATTTTAGATTCTGTGAGACCAATGAGTCCTTCATCTTCTACAATGAATATGGACCAATCCAACATATTCAAGGAGGCTACACTTGGCCATCCAAAGTTCAGAGTAAGCACTTGGGTACTTAAGAAGCGGATTAACCAGAACTGATTCTTCACAACTTGAAAGCTAGCTCTTAGTCTAGGCCAAGAAAGAAAATTCTGCAAATACCATTCCTTGATATACTCCATATCTGGCCACCTGCCAAACCCCCACCCTCTTCCTCATTTTAATTTTTGGTAAAACTTTCTATCTGTAAAGAGTACCAAAACAGAAGTAGGGCAAGGCCACTGCCCCAGAAATCTAATGCAGGGAGATTCCCTGACTCAGCACTTGAGCAGCCCAGGCAGGTCCCAGGGCAAAGGGCAAATCCTTTTTTTTTTTCAATCTCTGTGGACCAGTGAATGCACCCCAAGGCTGAATCCATTCCAAGCATATATACCCTAGTACAGATCTAAGGGGAGGGCTGAGCTGAGCCAGTGTGATGATAAAAGACAGAACCCTCACACTGTCTGGTCTGACCACTTTTAAATCCTTGGACAGAAAGGATGACAGAGAGAGTTCCCACCAAAATAAGCTGGGCAATTAAAACATGCTTCCTGAGGGAGATTTTTTAAAATATAGATTCCTAAGACCCATCCCTCAAAGTTCTGATTCACAGCAGCTGGTGTGGGGCTAGGAGATCTATATTTAGGTTCCCAGGTGACTCAAACATTGCTGATATACATACAATACTCAACAAGGGAGAGCAACAGAGAAACAAAATGTAATCTGGTATAATGAGACAGCATTTTGCAAAGTATGGTTGGGATACCCCAGGCATCAAAATCACTTGGGGAGCTGTTAAGCAGTGTTTTGGATTCCACCCAGAATATACTGCATTTGTATCTCTAGGGGGTGGGGTCAGTGATTGTGATACACAGAAGTTAATGAATTTCCACTCTAAAGGCACATGGAATTGGTAACTGAGCAGAATGGCAGAATGATCCAATCAGGAAACAGTGAACTCTATACAAAACACAGCATGGGTCCCTTGGGGAAAAGGATGTGGACCAACAGAAAAAGACCTCTTGTTTCTCAATGGGAGAAACAAGAAACAAACATATAATGTGTCAGGCAGTGATTATGCTTTGAGGAAAAATAAATATCTAAAAGGCCACTAGGTATTATTTTGGATATAGGGGTCAGAGAAGGCTATGTAGGCAGCAAAGTGAGCTTCACATAGAGACCTGAGTGAAAGACAAATTCCATGAGCTTATGAGGAACAGCACTTAGGCCCTGAGGACAGAGCATGCCTGGAAGGGTGGAGAGACTGAAAAGTAAACCAGGGCAAGGGGTCAGAGAGCAAGTAAGGTATGCTTGTATACTGGTGGTGGAAAGGATAAATCTTATAGGCATTTTTTAAGGGTAGTGTATTTTATTAAAATAAGGAAGATGATAATACCCATGGAAAGTTCTGAGAAGAGTTATCTTGGGTGTCACAGAGGGACAAGGATGGAGATAGGAAGACACACCAATGATCCACTCAGAAATAATGGTTCTTGCAGGGGGTGAGTGGTGGAGAGAAGGAGAATATGATTTAAAACGAGACTCAACAGAATGTGCTAATAGATTGGATATGGGGGTAGGGAAGAAAAGTCAAAAGATGAAAAAAGAGAAAAAAATCAAAGATGAAAAAAGAAAAGTCTGCAGTTTAAATCTAGCTGCATAAAGGAAGTTGCCCTTTGCCATTATAGGAAATACTGGGGAGGGTCAGGCTTAGAGAAGGAGAACCAAGAAATCAGTTGTAGGTGTTACTGTGGTTTGACTAGGGCCCTTCCAAAATTCTTAATAGCATTAAGAGGTACAGCCTTTAGGATGTGATTAAACCATGAAGTCTCTGCACTCATAACTGGAATCAGGTGCCCTTTTAAAAGAGCTTGATGGAAGGAGTTTGTCCAGCTTGCCCTCTTCCTTCCACCATATGAGGTCACCGCATTCCTCCTCTCCTCCGGAAGATACAGCAATAAGGTGCCATCTTGGAAGCAGAGATCATACCTCTGTCAGACAATGAACCTGCCGGTGCCTTGCTCTTGAACTTCTCGGTCTCTAGAAAAGTGAGAAATAAATTTCTGTCCTTTATAAATTACTCAATTTCAGGTATTATTATGGCAGCACAAATGGACTTAGACAGAAATGTAAACTTTAATAGTCCTCCTGGATATCTAAGTAGAAATGCTGAGTAGACAATACAGGTACAGGTTCCTGGAAGAGGGAGTCTGAGTTGCAGACATAAAGCTTGGAAGCACTCAAAGATTGTACTTAAAGCCATCAATGGGTCAAAATGTGTTCTATTGGGGAATGAGTTTGGATTAAAAAAAAAGAAGTTGAGAAGATAAAGAAGATTCAAGAAAGGCGACTATGAGGGAACCACTGATGAATAAAGAGAAAAAAAATAATCAAGGTAACATAATATCCCTAGGGGTAAGAGAAGAATAAAAGTGAGAAATGAAATGTCAGTGAAAGTGAAAATTGTGTGGAATACTGACCAGTTATGAGTGAAAACCAATTACTAAAAGGAAGGTAGCCCTGACATTAGCTGTTCTGGGTGAAGTGTGGGAACCAAGCCTACCTGAGATAGGGTTCGGAGAGACATGGAGACATAATGGAGACCAGAACTCTCCAGTAGAAATATAATGTGAGGTGCACAAGTAACTTGAAATGTGCTAGACCTCCATTAAAAAAGTAAACTGGTGAAATTAAATTTCAATATATATTATTTAACAAAATA